TCTCTATATGGGATCCGAACCCTCGGCGGGAGTGCCGCTGCGCTCCCAAGTGCCGCACTCTCCCGAGTGCGCCACCGGGCCGGCCCAAAATCTGAGACTTTTTGAGCACCAACATGATGCTAAAAGAAAATGCTCATTGGAACATTTCGGATTTTGGATTTTCAGATTAGGGATGCTCACCAGTAAGCATTACTATAATGCAAACATTCCAAAATCTGAAACACTTCTGGTCCCTAGCATTTTGGATAAGGGATCCTCAACATGTATTGTTTTCATAACGCACAGTCATTTATTACTTTCTCCTCTAGGTTTCACATTTTGAAAGATGTTTTTTCTTTTCTTTTTTTTTTTTTTGACCGCTAAGGGGATCACAACCCTTGGCACGGTGTTGTCTGCACCACGCTCAGCCAGTGAGCGTACCAGCCATCCCTCTATAGGATCCAAACCCACGGCCTTGGCACTACCAGTGCCACACTCTCCTGAGTGAGCCACAGGGCTGGCCCAAAAGATGTTTTTTCTAGCACACAAACCATATATCAAAAATTTGCTTGTGCTTCATCTTAGGTAAACATATGCCCAGCTTAGTGTTTCTGAAGCACTTCCTAACTTCTAACAGTGACAGGTGTTAAATTATGGCGCCAGGAACATTTGCCTTCAAACTCCATCTTCACGATCACCATCAACTCTCCAGCGAGGACTGCAGAATTAGCATCAAATAATCTGGGACCAGATGACTTTCTACTTCCATCTAACACACATTCACTGAATTTCCCTATTTGTCAGAACAATTCACTCCAATTATTTTAATAGCCTTGACAAAATATAATTAGAACAGCAACTCTGCTAAAATTTAAATTTCAATTACGGCAATCTCTGGGGTACTGATCCTGTGCTGCCATTTTACCTGCACAGATGTCTGTGAGGTGTCCACTTCACCGCACTGATGACCGTAAAGCTGTAACATCTAGGAGCCTTGGCCCTAAATCTCAAGTACACTCATCAGCAGATAAAATGAGCCAGTGCAATCGGTGTCCTGTGCTCTCCTGAGAAAGGAACTACGGAGAACTCTCCTTGTGGATCCACAGTGTGGTGGACGAGACCCCACGTGTCAAAAGAGCTTGCTGTATATACCATCATCAGTACAGGGCTACGGCCCTCAGAAAAGTCAAGTGTCAATCTAGGAAAGTTAGATGGATTGCTTAGAAGGAAACTGTAAAGTCCGGTTCCTAGTCACCCGCTCTGTAACTCAGAGAATCCCCTCGCTGCTCACAAACTCTGAGTTCTACTCTCCCATTCTTATGCCATTTCCCTGGTCTCATTATTCTTCTTGTGGTTTCACTGGTCTTCTTGACCAAGCTTTGGTAAAATCAACTGCCATTTCAACACTGTTCTTTCTAGAACTTTCTAGAAATAGAATATTTTCATTCCTTTGAGTAACCAGAGTAGAGGTTAGTAGGGAAGTACCTGACACAGAGGAAGCACTAAAAATGTTCAACAAATGAGAACCGAAAATGTTGAATCCCATTAAATAAGAAGTCCCCAAACCCAGAGTTCCCATACACGTTGTAGCTCTCACATTTCCCTTGGCCATCCCCGTGTCACCTCCAGGTCCATCATCTTCCCAGTCCACCACTGGGACTTACTAGCCTGTCTATTCAGGCTGGACTCCACAGCTGGCCCTTGCAAAGTGCTCCTTCTAGCACTGTAAAGTTCATCAGTCCTCCAAACTTCTGCTCTCATTACCGTCACAGTCGCCAACTCTGGGACCTTCCAACCAGCCCCTGCAGCAGTCATGTTCATGCCCAAGCTGCCAAATGCTTCAAAGAAAGTCATACAACACTTGATCCACCACAAATTCATATGATTTCACCTTATCTTTACCTATATCTCTGCCTGGCAATCTCTATATTCAAAATTTTTAAATGCTACTCAATTTCCAAAATAATGTCCTCCATCCTTTAAGGCTAAGTAAGCTGAGGCCATGTGGTTCAA